TGTATGGAGATTTGAACATTTAGGCCAAGTTATTGGAAGAGTTAATCTCTTGTTATTTTTTAGTTGAAATATTTTCAAAGTTCAGGCAGGACTGGGTTAGTGACAGAGTCAAAGTGCAGCTTCTTGTAGGTGGAGTTTGGGCATAGTTTAGTAATCAGATTTTCTTTTTTTTTTTTTTTTTGTCGGTCGTAGGGCTTGAACTCTGGGCCTGGGCGCTGTCCCTCAGCTCTTCAGCTCAAGGCGAGCACTCTACCACTTGAGCTACAGCGCCACTTCCGGTTTTCTGGTGGTTTATTGGAGATAGGAGTCTCACGGTCTCTCCTGCCCGGGCTGGCTTTGAACCGCGATCCTCAGATCTCAGCCTCCTGAGTAGCTAGGATTACAGGCGTGAGCCACCAGCGCCAGGCAGTAATCAGATTTTCATACAAACTTCTGTAGTCACTGAGGACAAAACCAACTACACCAAAAGGAGAATATTAGGTTCAAAAGCAATCGTAATGATAGACATATTCACTATAGAAATAGAGTACTGCCTGTTTGAAAATAATTACCAACTTCAACAATTAATTATCAACTTCAATAACCTAGAGGAATAAAATATTAAAGATAATATTACTTGAACAAAGATGCACTAGTGAATGAAAACAACAATGGTATAAAAACAGGAGAAATAATAATATTGAATAGCATAAAAATAGAGAAGTAAAAATGAGAGAAGAAAGAAGCAAATGGAGGAGGTATCAAGAAAAATAATTAAAATTAGCCAATAGTAAAGTGGGAAACAGATCATATTATTATTAGATTATTACTCAGAGAAAATGAAACAATCTAAAACTACAATAGTACAGAAGAATTGTAGAAAGAGGAATAAAAAAGAGAAGAAAAAGCAAGAACAAGACAAAATATCTAACTGGAGAATGAAAGTGAATAAAAATGGAGGGAGGGAGAAAGGAGAAGGATAGTTGAAAATTAAATATTTAAAGCTGGTTATGGTAGCTCACATTTATAATTCCAACTATTGGGAAGCTGAGGCAGGGAGACTGCAAGCCCCAGGATCACATAGGCCCTATAAGGAGAGGCAAAGAAATTAGATCTTAAATGGAAACGTCATGAAAGGGAAGTCCAAAAGTGAAAAAGAGCAAAAAGATATGATATAAAATAGAATGATATTTATTTTAATATTTAAGTTGATCACCCTGGTTTTAAAAGTCTCTGTAGAAAAGTAGACAATCAAAAGTGAAAAGGGAGAAGCAAAAGAAGAGAATAATTTTTTAATAAAGAAAACAAGCATCTAGTCCTCTGAAAATGTTCATCTTGTGGGCTGTAGTGTGAACTGTGGGATCAGTGCCCACTGGGTTTTCTTTACTTGGCGAGGGAAGTCTGTGTAGTATTGACTTCCTCTGTTTTCCTTTGTGTTCTCCTAGCAACCAGAGGGCATATTTTATAGGGAAGGATGGCAATATCCTGCAGTGGCAGAATGCTCTGCTGGTCTCTATCCTCTAGATCTTTGTCTCCCAGAGCTCTTTGCACTTGGGAAGTCTTCACTATGTGGTGCTCTTCACATCCCTAAAGCAGACATACACACACACACACACACACACACACACACACACACACACACACACACACGTCTATAAAGATACTGTACAGAGGGGTTACACAAGTAAGGTAAGGAGTACATTTCCTATGGAGCATTGTTATCCCCTCCTTTGTTTTTATCAACAGTCAGTTTTTGCTGAGCTATTCCCAAAACACTTGTCTTACAGTTTATTATTTTTCACTTTGGCTGTCACCCATTGTCATTTTCCATCTGGCCTAATCCACCATAAACACACTAGCCAAACAACACTAGTAACAGGTCTGCATAGGACTTTAACTTTGTTAATCATATCCATGGTTATATCATTTTAGATATGAACTTTGCCCTGTTATATTTTCACACAACTCTTGCATTATCTTTTATTAAATCTGTCTTTTGACCTCATTGTGCCTGCTTGTCTCCTGTCTTAGTCTTTGCTATGCAGACTTTCTTGTGTGGCAAAATCAGTTCTCTACGCCAGTACTCAGTGATCCTTGCTGTGTGTTCGTGGAGCCTACATGTTATTTCTGACTTCTGAAGTTTCTAGCTCAGGGTCTTTTGTTTCTATGGCCAGTCCTGGGGCTTGAACTCAGGGCCTGGGCACTGTCCTTGAGCTTCTTTTGCTCAAGGCTAGCACTCTACCACTTGGGCCACAGTACCACTTTCAACTTTTTCTGTTTATGTGGTACTGAGGAATCAGACCCAGGGCTTCATGCATACTAGGCAAGCTACTCCACCACTAAGCCACATTCCCAGCCCATGGCTCAGGATCTTTACAAAATGTGTTCCTGCCAGTACACCATGCTGAAAAGGAAAGAACTTTTGCAGTGATCACCCATGCCCTATGTTGACTCTAAGATCTCTTTCTGGCTAGGCTGAAAATCTAAATCTGTTTGATACTGAGTTCAAAATTATGTTTTCTGAGTCTCTCATTCTTTCATTTTTGCTTCCTTCCTCTGGTAATTGCTTCTACCCACACAATTCACAGAAGTTTTCACCCTCCATATTCTGTTCTCCAAGACTCTGTTTTGTTAAATAAGATAACCTATGTTCAAACCTGAAACCACAGTGTGTTTTTTTCCTTTGGCTCTTGTTTATTTGTTCTTTCTTTTGTCCCAGGCTGAGCCCTTTGCAGCTTTGTATGCTCCATTCCATACTAGTCAATTGGTGCACTGGAGCAGACATTTTCTCCCTCTGTTCAGCTTGCTAATACTACCCATTTTCCTTTAAAAAATAGTTCTACCTGTACACTACTGAAATCTCAGTGCCTTCCCACTATCACCCATCTTAAAGGCTAGTTGCTTTCCAGCTGCTCCTGCTCATTTCCCTAGAAATGTATGTGATATTAATTTACCACCTCAAAAACTTCTCATATTTTTCTTGATCTTTGTAGGTTGGGTGCATCTGAAGAAGTAGAGACTCTCCTAGTATTTGAAGGTTGGCTTTGTCTTAGAAAACCCCATCTGAGGGAAGGGATGGGAAGGGGAAAAGAAAAACAAACAAAAAAAAAACCCCATCTGACATGTTCCATAGGCATCTTTTTAGTTTTCCAGTTGTTTCCTACCTGGACATATGAAAGGAATTTTCACCATAAAGATATGATAAATGTTTGAGGACATAGTTGTGTTTGACCTGATTTAAACATTACACAATATGTAGCAGGTATCAAAACATCACACAGTACCCCATGAATATGTGTAATTTGTGTTATATATCAGATAAAAATAAATTTAATATTAAGATGGGAAATATACATTTCTCAAAAGAAGATGTATAAATGGTCAAGCATACAAAATCAATATCATAAATTATCAGGGAAGTACAAATCAAAATCATGAGATACTACTTTACTTCTATTATTGGAATGGCTATTATAAAAAAGACAAATAATAACAAATAGTAGCAAGAATGTGCAGAAAGAGAAATTCTTATACCCTGTTGTAGGAATGTGTAGTATTTTGGTTTTCTGTGTGTAAATTAATAATTATGTAAGTTAGTACAGCCACTACGGAAAACAGTTTTTCCATAGAATGACCATATGATCCAGCAATCCCACTATTAGGTTTATACCTGAAAGAAATGAAATAAGCTGGGTGCCAGTGGCTTATGCCTATAATCCTAGATACTCAGGAGGCTAAGATCTAAGGATCATGGTTCAAAGCTAACCAGGGCAGGAAAAGTCTGTAAGACTCTCATCTCCAATTAATCACCAAAAAGCTGTAAGTGGAGCTGTGGCTCAAGTGGTAGAATATTAGCCTTGAGCAAAAAAGCTCATGGATATTGCCAGGTCCTGAGTTCAAGCACCAGGATCTGCATACATACACAAAAGGAAATGAAATAATAGTATCCATTTGCAGAAAACTGAAACTGCATCCCTATCTATCCCCTTGCACCAGTATCAATTCAAAATGTATCAAAGACCATAATGTAAGGTCTGAAACCATGAAACTATTACAGGTAGAAGGTAGGAGAAACAGTAGGACTCAGGCAGGAATTTTCTGAGTAAAGATCCAGAAAAAAGACTGCCTACAGAACCACAAAATATATGTCTCCGTCTATTTTTGTTGCTACAACAAAACATCAGAGGCTCATTTAGGTCATGATTTTGATGTTTGGAAAATCTAAATATCCATCATGTTCTCACCATTCAATCATGCATGCAACAATCATTGAAAACTTCCCCATTGAGGGTTATGCTTGGCCTCAGATGACAAGTATAAACTCTACAGTTCTGTCAAGATTTATCTCAAGGAGCTTTCAGTCTTTTCATCCTTATCAACCATCTGAGGAAAGCAAAGCAGGTATTATGATCCCTGCTTTATAAATAGAAAAGTGAAAAACAAAGGGTGTGTAACTATGCTGAGTCACACAGTTAGCTCACCATGGGGCTGGCTGGAGCATTGGAGTCTTCTCTCTATCTTAAACTCTTTCCATTTTTCCCACACGAAAGCAAGATGGTGAAGAACACAAGCTTGGAGCTAAGGTGGACTCAGTTCCACCATTTCTCAGCTGTGTGCTCTTGGGGTCCTTCTTTAATGGCTTCATGCTTCAATTTTACCCTCTATAGAACACTCTACACTTGAGCCACAGCATCACTTCCAGCTTTTTCTGCTTATGTAGTACTGAGGAATCGAACCCAGGGCTCCATGCATACTAGACAAGCACTCTACTACCAAGCCACATTTCTAGCCCTCTAGTTTCATCTTTATCCTGCCACTCTAGCTAAGTTTCTTAGATGGTATTCAGTCTTAGCATTAAGTACCATATTAGTAGTGAAGAGAAAAACTAAGACTCTTCAAAATTCTTCTAAGGGGAAAAATTAACTGAAAGAATATTCTAGTTTGGAGAGGACCAAACTTCTTTCACAAAATCATTGTTCTTTAGACTACTACAAATAAGAATAAGTCTCCTATTTACTTACAAGTGAAAAAGAGTGTAGTCTCATCCAGATGAATGGTCTTTGGCTTGATATATAAATCCACACTAGCAGTGTCCAAGCTGCGCTGGTGAGTCTTAGAGTTGTAGCATGATGCTGAGCGGCAGTGATCTCGAAGCCAGACATAATCAAAGTGCATCACAGTATTAGCATATTGCAATTCTAAAGAAAATATTACATTCATCAGAAATATTTATTTAAGAAAACTGAACAGAATAAATAGCCAGAAAACTTCTAGAAGATTTATACCAAGAACAAAGACAATAAAAGTAGTTCCTTACCAATTATTAAACCATAATATATACCTTCTATAGTTAAAATGGTGTGATACTGACATAAGAATAGACCAAATAATGGAAGAGTATAAGAAGCCCAGAAATACATCTAAATGGGTAGATGGATATAGGATGCCCTTGCACTATGTTAGCAAATCTTTGGTTAAGGTGAAGTTACATGAAAATGAAAACTCACAAAAAGTCAAATACTCTCCTATGAACCAATTTACTAATTTAGAAAAGTAAACAAAAAAGAAATCAAATTTATAAAAGCAACAAAACTATAAATTACCTAGGAATAAATGAAAACATGGAGGAATGCTATGGAGAGACCCATAAAACCATGTTGAAAGACTTGAAAGAAAGCTATAAGGAGAAGTACCATGTTTACAGAGGCAGTTTCAATAGTGAAAAGGAAAAAAAATCTACAAATTAAAACTCAAATTCCATGTAACTGTGATCTATATCCTAGTGAAATTTTCATGTAATGGATGTCAAGTCCAAAATCCATGTTGAAAAAGAACAGATTCATAATTTTGAGAAAGAAGAAAGTATGGGTATCAGATATAAAAAGCTTATTTTAAAATTATAGTTTTAAAAATATCAGTATAGAATAAATAAGTAGATCAAGGGAACATTACAAAGACTCATTCATAATATGAACCTGTAGTACATGAAAAATGTGGTATTTCCTAACTCTAGGAGAAAGATGGGCTCTTCAACGAGTGGTATTGGAAAAATTAATATTTCAAAAAATAAACTGTCTTTGTAACAGAAGTACATTTCTGATAGATTAAAATATAAAACATTATCTGTCAACCTCCTTGAGATAGGAAAGGCTGTTTTATATACTACAAAAAGAACAAAATATAAAAACATTTTATTTTGAAAACAATATAAAAACCTTAAAGCAAAATAGCAGAAAGCAAAAACACCCCAGCAGATTTGAATTTTGAATGTGTCCCAGTCCACACATACATCCTTTGGCAAAGGGCTTTAAGAATGATCTTTGATCACTAGTTGAATGATTACTGAACCATCTGAGGATTCTCAATTTTAGCGTTATGGATATCAAGGTTAGATAATTTTTTGTTGCAGGGTACTATACATACATTGTAGTATGTTTAGTAGCATCTCTGGTCTCTATGCAACCAGTAGCATCTTTCTCTCCAGTATGACAGACCAAAATGTCCCTAGAGATTGCTAAATATGACAATGTGAGGAGGGTGGGGAAAATTGTGCCAAGTTGTGAGGCACAAAGCTATGGTGACTCCAGAACAATGTCTAGGGAATCACAGTTTAAAAAACTGAAGTAGACACAACACTGGTTGCACACTCAACAGAATTACTTCAGGCAAGTCAGCAAACAAACAAATATGAAAAGCAGAGCAATAATCCCATTAATGTCAGAACTCAGTTACTGCAAGATATCAATTAAACTACCGGGGTCTTCAACAAAAATAATCATGGTAGGCAATATACGAAAAATCCAGATATTGAAGTCAACTGAGAGTCTGAAACAACTACAGTACTTTGGAACTGCTGATATTATGGGATGAAGTTGTTTATTTGGTGATGTCCTTTTAAAGTTGGACTTACTATCATAGGATCAAAGTGGGAATGATAAGCAAAATTATGCGTGTAATGATTATTTTGTCAACTTGATTGGGCCATGGGAGTGCCCAGGAATCTGGCTAAATATTAATCCTGAATATGTCTATGAAGTTGTTTCTGGAAGTGACTAACATTTGAATCAATAGATTGAGTAAAAAAATTTCTCCTCAATGTAGGTGGGTGTTACTCTACATTGAGGGTCTGAATGAAACAAATAGGTAAAAGGGAGAATTATGTTGACACAATAGTCTTTTGATCTTAGACTGGAGATTATACTATAAACTTTCTATCTAGGACCCCTAGACTTGGACTATAACTTATATCATTAGTTCTTTTCATTCTCAGGCCATCAGACTGAAACTGGAACTACACTGGTAGTTTTCCTGTGTCTCTATGTTTAAAGATGAGATTGAGGTACTCCTTAGCCTCTACAAAATTGCATGATCTAATTCTTTGTCTGTGTGAGTGTTCATATTACACATACCCATACAATTTCCCAGTTGATTCTCTTCTGTTTCTCTGTAGAACATTGACTAGCGTGAAAACTGGTAGTGAGAAGTAAGGTACTAATATAACAAACATCTTAAAATTTGGAAGTGGCTTTAGAACTTGGAAGTAGGTAGAAGCTGGAGAGGTATGCTAGAAAAATTCAAGATTACTACAAATGGAGTGATTCTGGTGAAGGCTCAGAAATTAAAGGGGAGAGCTGAGTTAAGAAAAACCCTTCATTTTCTTAGACAATACATAAATAATCATAAATAGAATTTTGGTAGAAGTGTGGATGGTAAAGGCCTTTCTCATAAGGTGTCAGACAGAAATGAAGATGATACCATTGGACAATGAGAAAAAATGTGATCCCTTTAATAAAGGGACAAAAAAAAAACCCTAGGCTGAATTGTCAAAGACAACTTGAGAACAATTAAGGAGGATATTTAGCTAAGATGATTTCTAACCAAACATTGAAGAAACACTGGTTCCTTCTGACTTCTTACAATAAAATACAGGATGAATGAAATAAGGAACTATTAAGTAAAATAGCAACCAGAACTTAATGCTTTAGAATTTTTATTTATCTTATTCACATTGCAAACAATGAGAAAACATGTTCTGAAGAGAACAGTAAAGTGTGGCTGACCCAGCATTTGATAAAGAATTAAGTGTGGGTATGAACCACTGTCCTACTCAACCATCTTAATAGATGCCAGGAACAGAGATAGGATTAAACCTGAAGAGACATTTATGATAAATGGATATTAAATTTTGTTGTTTTTCTGATTCTAATGATATCCCATAACATTTTTAATTTATTATTTTCATGTGGTACATTACATAAATCATTGCTTTGAAAAAAAATTAAACCAACCTTGCATTCCTGGATGGACTACCTGATCTTGATATATTATCTTTCATATGATATATTATCTTTCGTATATATTGTTGAATTCAATTTGTTCATATTCTGATTAGAGTTTTTGTGTCTATGGTCATGAACTACTACCCTCCAGTTACTTTTCACTATCTTTTTTTTGGTGAAGGAGAGCGATTAATGGATTTGATATTACAAAAGAACTGCATAATAAAATAAGTCATTTATTTTCTGGAAGAGAATGAAAGAAGGAGTGATATTTCTTTTTCAGCATTTGGTAGAGTTTATAGTTAAACAAGCTGGGTCTGATGTTTTTGACTTTGGAATATTTTGACTAGCAATCCTATTTTTTATAATATACATAGGACTACTCAAGTTATTTATTTCTCCTGGAATACATTTTGACAATTTGTGTGTATCTTGTTTCAGCTGTCATAACAAAATGTTATAGACTGAGTAGCTTAACAGAAATTTATTAATCACAGTTTTGAAGGCTGGATATCCAGATCAAGTTTTGATTTGGTTCCTGGTGAAGGAGAGAGATCTCAACCATTCCTTCCATTTTTATAAAACACAAGTTTTATTTTATCAGGGTTCTACCCATGTAACCTCACTTAATCTTAATTATGTTCTTCAAAGAACTGTCTCAGTGTAGTTATAAAGGGATTGTAGGGCTTCTATAAATGAATTTTTGGTGGATACAATTGAGTCCATAATAATTTATTTACAGGAATTGGTCTCTTTTATTTAACTTACCAAATTTGTGGGCACAGAATGTTTTCGTAGTATTCCCCTTTTTGTCCCAATATCATTAAGATCAATAAAAATTATTGATGTTGGTAATTTGTTTCTTTCTTTATTCTTGGTTAACCTGGATAGAAGTTAATCAATTTTATTTATTTCAAGGAAACAGATTTTGGGTTCATCGATTTTCTTGTTTCTCTCCATTTTCAATGTCACTGGTTTGTGGTCTGTCAATTCCATTTCTTGTGCTATTTTTTTTAATTTAATTTTATTTTATTTGTGAACATACTTCTTGTGCTATTTTTAAGTTTAATTTGTTCTTATTTATCTAATTTCCCAATGTAGTATGTAGCTTAGGCTATTTATCCATTCATTTACTTATTTATTTTTATTTTCTAATATATGTATGCATTGCATTCATTTCTTTCCAACCAATGCTTTAGCTGCTTTCTGAATTTCAATAGGCTATGTATTCATTTTTACTTAGTTCAAAACATTTTTAATTTCCATTAAGGCTGTCTATTCATGTACTTTTTAGAGGTCTATGGCTTAATTTCAAAATACTTGGGGCCATTCTATTTTTAAGTTTTTATTCCTACTTGACTATTGTATGATCAAAGTACGTATCTGTTGTTAAGAGTCTTTTAACTTTTTGAACTTTGTTTTATGGCTCAGATTGTAGTCTATCTTAGTGGATGCTTCATGTGCTCTTCAGAAGAATGAGTAGTCTACTACAGTTGAGTGAATTCTTCTACAAATGTCAGTTAGGTCTAGTTAGCTGAAAATGCTGTTCAGGCTATACATACCCTTGCAGATTTCTTTCCTAGCTAATTTATCAGTTGCTGAAAAAGAAAGAATGTCTCTAATGACAATTGTGATTTTGGTTATTTCTATCAGTTTTTGTTTCATGGATTTTGATGGTCTATTTTTACATTTTTTGAGAAGTGATTTAATTATTGCTATATCATGTGCCTCTTTATCCTAGACAATCTTTCTTATCCTGAAGATTGCTTTGTCTAGAGTTAATATAGTTACTGGGAGGTCTTGAGTTGAAAGCTTTTTCTCTAAGTTCATGAATAAAACAAGGATGTTCACATTTGGCATTTCAAGTCAACATAGGACTAGAACTTATAGCCAGAGTAATTAGGTAAGAAGAAGAAATTAAAGGAATGGTTTTACATATAGAAAACCATAAAGATTCCACCAAAACTCTTAAATCATTAATAATGAGTTCAGTGAAGTTGTAGGATACAAAATCAGCATGTAAAATTAGTACTATTTCTACACATTAACAATGAACTATCCCCCAAATTAATAATAATCCCATTTGCATTTGTCACAAAAATAAAATACTTAGGAATATCTTTAACTAATGGAGTAAAAAAAATCTGTGTACTATAATACATTGATGAAAGAAATGTTAGATATATTCTATCTTCATAGATTGAAAAAGTTAATACTGGAAAAATGTCCATACTACTTGAAGTAATCTATGATTTAATGTAATTCCTTTAAAAATGCCAATGAAGCTAGATTTTTAAACTTATAATCTAGATTTTATAAACTTACAAGTAAATATGTTGGGTGATATCAAAGTGTATACAAATGTATTAACTGAATTGTGATAGATTCAAGGGATACAAATGGATTAACTGAAATATGGTAGATTCAAAGGAGGACTCTGTAATTCTTTAAAGAGGCAAAGTTAAAGTTGAACAAAGTAAACACCAGGAAGTAAATACTTGAAAGGGGTGGGGTGGGCCAAGGGAAAAGAGGTAGACAAATGAAGAGGAAAAAAGGGAGAGAATGCAGTCAAGAATTCAGTGGAAATCCTACAAAATTAAGAGTCAGGGGAAAGGGTGGTAGGGGAGGGATGGGTGAGAATGTTGAAAGGAGTGACATTGAGTAAGATGCATTATATTCATAAACTTTTTTTTATTCATAAACTTTTTAAAATGGCAACTCCTTTGTACAACTATTTAAAGATAATATAAAATAAATAAATATAAAAAGGGGTGACAGGGATCAATATGTACTGTATTCATAAATTCCTTTGTTAGGAAGTGGCACTGTAGCTCAAGTGGTAGAGCGCTAGCCTTGAGCTGAAGAGCTGAGGGACAGTGCTCAGGCCCAGAGTTCAGGCCCCATGACCGACCAAAAAACAAAAACAAAAACAAAACTCCTTTATTAAATGGCAACTCCTTTGTATAACTACTTAAAGATAATTTTAAAAAAGGGGCTGGGAAGGCGGCTCAGTGGTAGAGTGCTTGCCTTGCATGCATGAAGCCCTGGGTTCGATTCCTCAGCACCACATAAGCAGAAAATAAAAGCTGGAAGTGGCGCTGTGGCTCAAGTGGTAGAGTGCTAGCCTTGAGCTGAAGAGCCGAGGGACAGCGCCCAGGCCCAGAGTTCAGGCCCCACAACCGGACCAAAAACAACAAAAAAAGATAATTAAAAAAGGAAAATTTTCTCAAAAATACTTTTGGCACTCTACATGATCAGTGGAGTTTCTCTAGTAACAAACTATAGAAATGATCCCTGAAAGTATAGCCTTTCAAAAGTATTTTTTAGTCCTAAATTATCTGTCAGGATGGATCATTTTAATGCCTGTGTTTTGCAAATCTGATTCTGCTTTGTCTATTTTCAGTTTTGTTACTTCTTATTTATTTTAGTATGTTTTATAATTTTGTTATTGTTGAAAGCATACAGGTAAGTATAGCAAATAATACTGAAGCAAATAGGACTTTATCATAAATATTTTAATTTGGTGATGAATTTGATCATGTTTTCTGCTTATTATTTTTATGGCTACCAAAGGCATTACATTTCTCTAGTGATCATTTTTTCCTCAGCTCTCTTGTCCTTGGACCTTTCCTTTGTGTTGCACCTCAGTAGTAATATGTTAGTTGAAGCTCTCCTAAAATAATCAACTGCTATTTTAACTGGGTATCTCTTAGCTTGTTATAATTTGGTCAAGGAAATCATTGTATTTTAGATTAAGTTTGCCTTTGAAGTGCACAGTGGGCTTGTGCTTTGGGAGTGTAGCCTAAAAAATTCTTTTTGTCTCTCTTCTAGGGTGTTTCAGACTGACCTGTATGTACCCAAATGATATATTCATGTCCTAACTCCTAGTACCTATGAACATGCCCATATTTGGAAATACAAAGGTCTTGACTTATGATCTTTTTGAGTTTATGACAGTACAGGAGCAATATGATACTAAACAATTTATGTGTGGTTAATCTATGATTTATGGTAGGTTAAGAGCACTGAATGTACTTTAACATGAATTTTCAACTTACAATGGGTTTATCAGGATGAAAACCTATTATAGGAGGATTGATTGGGTTGTTACTGGTCTAATGAAGTTAAAATGAAGCCCTAGTGAGTTATGGTGGGCTTCAAATCCAATGACTGGTTCTTTTAAAAAGAGACAGATTTGAAGACATAAAAAAGACAATGCAGAGAGGATATGTGAAGATGGAAGCAGTGATTGAAATGATGCTACCTCAAGCAAAATACTCACTTTGTGTCAATTATTGTAGAAGCCCTAGTAACCTTATACAAAGGATAAACTTCCCCATCCCCTACCAGGTAAAACTTTTCTGGTTATAACATTCCTTATCTATATGTTGGTACTTTTCTTTCCTTCTTTTCTTTCCTCTTTTTCTTTCCTTTCTTTCCCTTCCTTCTCTTTCATTCTTTTTTCTTTTTTTCTTTCTCTCTCTCTCCCTCCCTCCCTTTCCCCTTATTTCCTTCCTTCTCTCTCTTCTTTTTTTGCTTCTCTGTCTCTCTGTTTTTGTCTGTCTCTGTCTGTCTGTCTGTCTGTCTGTCGGTCTGTCTCTCTTCTTAGGTGATACAGGAAGACGGAATTTGGCTAGAGAAGGATATTGTTCCCTATGCCCAGTTGGTTTGGGATTTCATTGTTGCTCTTTTTTATTGTTGTTATTTTTTTTCTTTTTGCAATTTCCAGAGAATCTTCCAAATAAATTGCTAAAGTTCCTCTCAATTCAGCAGGAAGTATTTTTAGGCCACATAAGAAGTACTTGTTGCACAATAAAATGAATATTTTTAATACTACTAAATTACATATTTAAATGGATAATGTGGTAAATGGTATGCTATGTAACACATCCCTTACCAAAGTGATCTTCATGTTGCTGCCAAGTACAATTCTGAGTCTTGGAGGCTGTGTGGTGCCGATGGATGGGTAACGGAAATAAGCTTTTGAAGTTGGACTGTTCAAGGGCTTGAATTACCCTTGCCTTCAGCAAATTCTTGAGCCTACTTTGCAGGTAGGACATCCTATAGTACCACATCCTATAGGAATGGACAATAACAAGAGAGAGTAAGAATATAAAACAACTTTCATGAAGCTACGAAAATAACAATATGTTGGTATAAGAAGGTCTTCATCAGATATGATCACCTCAGCTGATTCTTCAAAAATTATGAGCTAAACAAACTTCTATTATTAATACATTTACCCTGGTTGTGAAATTCTCCTACAGCAGCAGAAAACTAAGACATATGGTTAATAAATTTATGAAACTATGTTCAACATAATTATGAGCAGGGAAATTTAATCAATCTATAACAAGATATCATTTAATATCCATTTTACTGATTTCTAAATATTGACTTTAATGCAATCATATATTACTTCCAATAAAATAAAGTTTTATATCTTCTTTTCCAAACCTTTGTATCTTGTATTTGTGTTTCTTGACTAACAGTCAGTTAAATAAGGAACATACTTCACTCATTTCTGATCTTGAGGAAAAACATTAACTATTTCATGGTTAATTATGATGTTTGATATGTTCTTTTATGGTTGTTGTTATTTGTCATTGGTGATCTTTGTCAGGCTAGAGAAAGTCCCTTCAATTTCTAGTTTTATGAGAGCATATGAATAAGTGTTAACATTTTCAAATGTATTTTCTGCATTTATTGAGATAACTATGGCTTTCTGCTTTGTTCTAATAATGCAATTAATTATGTTAAAACAACTTAGCATTTCCGGGATAAGCCCTGTTTGAACTTGATATTGTTAGGTTTTTAAAGAGGAATCCAAGTCAGAACCACACCAAGCACGTGGTATTCAGGTAAAGGGAAAGAGAGTGTCTGGCCCTGGGGCTAGGCCTTATCTAGGGCAGGGGCAGGGAAAGGTGTGCAGAAGTGACCCCTTCCAGGCGTGCCAGTAGGTAACGCAGGTACTGGGCAGAGACTTTGCTGGGAGGAGGGTGGAGTCTGCGCGCCATCCAGGAGCGGACCTTACAGATACATTATCTTTTTTATATATTATTGGATTCAATGTGCTTGAACATTCTCTTTTCTTTTTTTGTGGTACTAGAGATGGAAATCAGAGTCTTGTACATAGGCAAATGCTCAGTAGGCTGCATTCTTAGCCTAATATGCTAAAATTTTTTATACAGCATTTTGTATCTAGATACGTGAGGACATGTCTTTACCAGGTATTTTATCACGTTAATGCTGGGTTTACAAAATAAATTATGAAGTGTTTAAGTGTTTCATCTATCTCTACTATTTGAAAGAAACTAGAATTCAGTGAAGAAGCTGGGACAGAGGTAGGAAGAATGACTGGAATTGTATTTGTGGACAGTATTTTTCCTTATGGGACTCTGCTAGAATTTTTGTCTGAGTCTCATATTTTTCTTATATCACAGTTTTAGAAACCCTGATGTCTTCTTTCATCTTATTTTTTCAATTTTTATAATTTCTATTTATTGGCTCTTTTATTATATTGTGCTAGTATGCAGTTGAAGTAGTTGAAATAATTTTTCATTTGACATGTCATTTTTCAATATTAATATTTACATTTAGTCCTTATTTAGAAATTCTGTCTTCTGAAATTTCCCATCTTTTTATCCATTCTATTCATTTTCCTTTTAAAGTCTGCTACCATATTTACAATAACTGCTAAGTGCCCTATCTAAAAGTGCCAGTCTAGATAATCTGTGAGTCTGTATTTACAGATGATTTTATCCTTTCATAGGCAGACAAAGAGACTCATCTCTGACTAATGAGCAAAAAACTAGAAGTGGAAGGGTGGCTCAAGTGGTAGAGTACCAGCCATGAGTAAAAAGTTAAGCAAAAGCATGAGGCCTTGAATTCAAGCCCTAGTTACTGGCGCAAAAAAATAATATTAAATGGGCAAATACATTGTCTATTTACATTGACTATAATTAATGATATATTTAAGTTTAACCCTAACCATATCACTTTTTTTGTTTCTGTCTTGCTTATTCTGATACCTTTTCTTTTCTTTCTTGCTTCCTTTAGTACTAATGGGGGCAATTTGTATTATCCTATTTTTTCCAACTTTTGTTAATTATACCATAGCCCCTTTCATTTGTGGGTAACATGTTCCTGGACCCCCAATGGATGCATAAAAGTGAAAATAGTATTCAACCCTATATTGTGTTTTTTTCTATTCATATATCCCAATAATAGTTTAATTTATAAAGTAGGCACAATAAAGATTAACAATAATAAAATTGAGCAATTTTAACAACATATTGTAATAAAAATTATGTGAATGTAGTTTCTCTGTCTCTCAAAGTATCTTATTGTATTGTACTTATCCATCTTGCTGAGCTATTATATGACACAATGTCTTCCACCACCTGGTCCTGAGATAACTATCAGCCTCAATTCCTGCCACTTCTATCTTTATCCATCACTGTCTTTCTTCACTTAAAGAAACTCATGCTTATGTTCATTGTTCTCTCAAAGTGAAAGTCCTGCCACATTCATCCTTCAAGAATCATACTAAGCAAAATGAACCCTAAGATAGGAACACTGTCGCTGTTGTTTTTAATGTACCATGTGATATTATTGTTTCTCTTTTATGTTCTTCCCCCATGGTATAACCCCTGTTGTCACTGTATTTGATTCCGGTGCCCTGCATCTTGTATATATATTTTTCTAATTTGGGGAAGGGAAGGGAAATAACAAAATGCTTAAGCAAGGATACAGATTGACCCATTGTAACAATGAAATGTAAAAGATACTATGTTCAAAATGAACTTTACAATTGTGGGGGGGAGGAGCAGGAGAGGTGGGGAGGAAAAGGATGGTAGGGGAAGAACAAAGGAGGGGGTAACAATGGTTGATAGGAAATGTGCTCATTACCTTACTAATATAATTGTAACCCCTCTACACAGTATCTTTACAATAAAAAAATAAAAAAACATACTACATATCATCTTATCCTAGAAACCTTTCCTAAACTCCCAGAGTTCTCTTGCCATACTCTGCTTTTGTTTCTTTCTTCCTAAAATAAAATAAAAATGAAGCTGGGTGCAGTCCTAATACCCAGTTTGCAGAGATCAGGAAGATTGTAATCAAAGATGGCCAGGGGCTAAATGCAAGACCTTAATCAGAAAATAACTAAAGGAGCCTGGCATCAGTTGCTCACAGTTGTAATCCTAGCTATAGAAGAGACTGAGATCCAGATTACAGTTTAAAGCCAGCCAGGGCAGAAAAGTTAGAAAGATTCCAACTTCAAAATAAACATTAAAAACACTTGGGATGGAGGTGTGTTTCAAGTGGCATAGCACTAGTGTAAGGAGTAAACGATAAAACTAGAAGGCCTAGAGTTCAAACCCTAGAAATGGGAAAAGAAAAATCAAAAAGGGCTGAGGTACAATGTAAATGGAAGTACAAGGCCCTGAATTCACTCTCAAAATACTACCAAAAAAATCTAAAACTAAAGTAAGGTTTTTGTTGAATGTGTTGATAACCTGACAATATTCTTTTTTTCTTTTTTCTTTTGTTGGTTGTGGGGTTGAACTCTGGGCCTGGGCACTGTCCTTCATCTCTTCAGCTCGAGGCTAGTGCTCTACCACTTGAGCCACAGCATCACTTCTGGTTTTCTGGTGGTTTATTGGAGATAAGAATCTCATGGACTTTGCTGCCTGGGCTGGGTTTGAACTGTGATCCTCAGATCTCAGCCTCCTGAGTAGCTACGATTACAGGATAACTTGACAATTTTCTAAACAGGCTAACTGGTGCCTGGCTAACTTGACAATTTTCTAAATACCCACTTTAAAATCTGTTCTACAAGCTAATGCAGGAGAAATTAACTCAGACTAGTAGACTGAAGCATCCCCATTCTTTCTTGACGTATCTCTCCTATTTTACTTAATTTGATGACAATAGTTCAATAGTATCATCTGAGTTAAAATTTTCCCATGTCAGGATACAAGTACTTTTCCTGTGTGAAAATATAGTTAAAATGGTGTTTTTGTCTTTACAAATATGACTTTCTATGGCCTAAGGTAATGTGGGACCTTATTCTTCCAAATCCAAATCCTTTAGGTACATACCACCAGCGTTATCCTTTATTCTCTTTTTCATCACTGATAGCAAATTAAGACTAATTAGACTTTGCCAGAGAACCAAGCAGACATCCAGGTACATAGAACAAAGAAAGGTTTATTGTAGGGAGATGGGGGCCAGCAAGATCCTTCTCTCAAGGGAGGAATGACAAGCAGCACCGGCTATTGTCCGGGGTGACCTATATAACTTAGGGGGGTTAGGAGGAGCTAGAAGGGGCTAGGAGGCAGAAACCCTGGTGTGCATGGGCCAGGGGCTTCATCATGTCAGACTAGGATTTATGACTGCTATCCAAATAGTAGATAAGGGTCCTGCAACTGCCTAGATCTGAAGGTCACTCTAAGGGGCTCTTGTTGCCTTATATGGTGGTAGCTGCCCCAGAGAAGTGCCATACCAAGGTGAAGGGAGTTGGAAGTTGATTATTTACTGCCTTTACTACTTGGGCCTAGTGTTGCCTAGGAAAGGGAGCATGCTAAGCTGTGGAGAAGGGAAGGAGTGGACTAAGCTATGGGAAGGGAGCTCATTTCGCTAACACATCTTTATATATATATATATATCACATCTTTATATATATATATATTTTTTTTAAAGAAACTATGAGTTCATTGTGAAATTCCTATGAAACCCTATGATTTTCCTCTTTTTTCTTTTAATTTAGGATGATTTGGTATTTCATAGTTAAATGATGTTTTTGAGAGTTTCCCAGCCTTTGAAATCTAAAGTCATCTTAAATGTAAATTAAGGTTCAACAAGTATCAACCACAATAACCAAAACTTTTGGAGAGCAGCCATAGTTAGAAATTCTAGTCAGGGGAAGAAATTACATAATAGGTCAGTTTGAATCTTTTCATAGTTATTACTAAGGAAGAAGCATTACCTCCTGAAAGGCTTCAAGCCAAGAAGCCATTTAGCTCCTGTCATTTTTTCATCCAAATGTCTTTCAGATTTGTCCTTCTCTT